TCCTAGGGTTTCATACACATAAAGGCTATAGGTTTGTGTGTACATGTATCTTACAACATCAATTATTTCAAGTGTCCTCTGGTAGAAATTGTCCCACTAACCCACAGGTACATGTACCAGTACTAAGGTCAATGTCAACACTTTGGTGAATGAAAGGCTATTAGATAAACAAGATAATGACTTTGTACATTATAGGGCTCATTTGGAAAAGGATGGTAGTAGTAACAAGAAACTTAATTATATTTGTATAGTGTACATGCACCAGTGAGTGTAACTTTAATCCCGAAGTGTCCAGTCTGTAATACACTGTAGTTCCCAGTTTCAGTTCAATCACCCAAGGAGATGGGGATAAGACCAAAATGCCAACAATGTACATGTATGCTGACTGATGCGGCTCATTATCACCACTATTACTTAATACTAGAGTAATGTAGCTTTCCATGTTATGTGTGGGAAGATTTACCATGGTTGTGAATGACTATGCCACCCTACATGTACCGGTACACGTAACGTATGTAAAGGTAGATGCTTGACTTAATCCCACAATAATGCAACCAAATCCAATGGTGATCAAAACTGGACTGAGCAGTTACATGTGTGTCACTCGACTTGTACACAAGTGACACAGACCAGTACATACCACTGTGGCTACGGCCACTCTTGGTGTTAATCAAGTACTCTGTACAAGGGGTAGGCAATAACACAGTTTTATTGGCACAATTCAATATTGTCCCCTTGAATATCAAGGGGTCAGTGATATTGTTTTTTGACCACTGATATCAAAGAAATCAAAATTACGTAGTAGATGAAGACATTTTATCAGCAAAGGTTACGAGTTTATGGTACATGTACGTGTAGGCCTACTAGTAACACAAACAAGGGACAAACAATCTACGCCCACGGTACCTGATTTGCAAGTTTTTTTCCCAAGACGTTTTGTTTGTGGACAGATTCGAGGATTTATTTCTAAATTAATGCAAAAATGTAATTGTACACGTACAGTGTACATGTATGATTTAGTGACTAGTTTATTGTTGTATTGGTGATATTGGAAGGGAAATAAACTCTATCCAAAAATACCAGTTTTGCCAGTCCAACTCTTCACAGTGCAACAAAATCCAATTTTCCTATTAATTTTTTTGTTTAGTTTGAAGGTTTGGTGTCTTATGCCATGGTAGAATGCACTAGGTCTGTATCAGCTGCATGTACTAGCAGCATTACTATACCAAATCATTGATTTAAAAGAGACAAGCATTTGAGCAGTTTTCTCCTTTACAATTCAGTGACTTATTCTTTTAGGTCTACAGAAAGTTTATACATATTTACACGTATATGAATCGGTAGGTCTATGAACAGTACTATAAAACGTTTATAATATTTTAAAACCACTGGTGTAAAATCCCTTTAAAATATGTACCTATAGCAAATAATGAACTTTGCCCCCTTTGTGCATTGAGTGGACACTATGCAAAAATAGAACAACAAACATGAGTCCTTACAAGAGGGTACAAAATCCACAATGAAGTGCAGCACTTGCTGAGTTGTAAAAAGTGTGTTAGACAGGAACACGACGTGACCTCCGGCTTACAATACCCTTTCACAAAGTTCAGTGCAAAGTTTGGTGCAAAACTCAATAGTTTTAACAACCAAATTATGGCTGGCCACATAGTATGCAAACAGTATGGGGTGACCTGAATAAGTTTAGATGTACATGAATTATTCCATTTTCTTGAAATCTCTAGAACACATTAATGGGAGACATGGTTGATATCCATTTAAGAATAAATGCCCATTCAATTCTCACAAATTCAACAATACACCTGTACATGTCTACCATACTACTGTGTACATACATGTACCATACGGGTATGAACTTCAGAGCAGAACAAAATGATGCACCCAGAGCATTATAAAGTGATAAGGTGATAACAAGCCAGGCCTGGGCCAAAATACATGTACATATATATGTACCAACAACGTGTGAAGTGGATAGTTTTCTGAAATCTGATTGCATGTATACATACATGTACATTTAGAAGTAACAGGTGCACATTTCCAGAAGGATGAATTTTTGAGCCCCCCTCCCTAATTCAACCTTGAACTCGTGTTTGGCAGGTGAAATATTCATGGCCTTATATTTAAGCTTGAGGTAACCATAGGAAGTTAGACGGGTTTTAAAAGGCAAACAAAGTTGGTATGCTTGCTCTGTAGTGTACAGATGGACATAGCCTTTGCAAGTTTTTTTTTGGGGGGGGGAACAGAGGGACAAAGCACTTTGTCCAGGAGGGAACATATCGGGGAAGGCAACGTACGGTACTCATCAGTAATTAACTGGTAAACTACTAATAGTGGGAGGGAATCAATGTCAAGGGTTTTTCCAAGCAAATTGGTGCTTTTCATCTCCATTTTTCTCTTCTTTGGCTTTCCACCCCTTTGTTCCTTTGTTTTTTTCTTATGGGCGGGGCAAGCACCCTCCCCCCTGTACATGCATATGAAGTATTCATGGAAGGAGTGCTCAATCAGGAGAAACTCCATAAAAACCAATGCTCGCCCATAATACAAGCAGGCAACTCCCTGCACATGTACATGTGTACCATATGTTACACCCCAACTATAACATCAGTGCCAACTACAGTTGGGACTGTCCCAACTATAGTTGGGCCCATCCCAACTTGAGGGCTGTACATGTACATGTAGTTGAGCCAGCCTAACTACTGCAAAGAGGTCCAGGGTGCGTGTGTCCAGCATGTGCCAAAGTCATATTGTTTACGGTGTCATGTCATGGATGAAGTGCCTTATTTGAGATGAAATGTGTTAAGTGTAAGATGCATAAACTGGGATAAGGTTGGGAAAATTTCTATAGAAATTGGTCAGCAATAGTTGGGCCAGCCCAACTGCAGCACTACAGTTGGGACTGTCCCAACTAAAGCTGGGACAGACACTATACATGTACATGTAGTTGGGGCATAACATGTACACCATTCACACACATGTAGTCATGTGGTTTCGGCAAAGAATGTTGCCTAGAGATCGGATCCTGTCAGATATGCTTGGGAAATCCCAATTTTTAGTTGCATTGGGGCTGCGGTTAAAGATAAACTTCCAGCTACATGTGCTGCTAGAGGTCCGAATTCCAGCACTGGCTCGAAGAATATCACAGCTTGCATGTACATGTAGGTTTCTAGAGTTCCTCACATGCCACTTTGTGTACACAGAGTTTGTATGGCTCAAATTCAAAGGAGTCTTGCTTTTAAAAGGTTTTTTATGGGTTTCTACAAAACACAACAGTACACGGTATTTCTCAGTTCGATAGAATCAGTCCTCTCAACACTGTGTAAGCCAGGCCAAAATGTCAACATTATAAAAACACGAATAAAAGAAAACACAGGGGAACATGAAGCAAACTGTCTACATGTATGTGTATCACCTTTTTACTGTTACATCAATAAACAGTACTTTCCCAATAGTCATGCCCACCAAACTTATGAATGGACATTTTGGGGGGAAAAGGAAGTTGACATGTAAACGTACACACACATGAACAGTCTAGTCTTGTATTAATATACCAGTTCATGTTGCAGGATATGTAACCCCATACAGAAACGGTGATAGGAGAACCAGCCAGCATGCTAAGAAAGGGTTGATTTTTTCCAAGGAGTTGTCTGTCAGAGGTACATGAACTGCAGACTGACTTGGCCGTGAGCATGGGCTGTTGTTGCAAATTCATGTTACTCCACAGCAGTGTAAAACAGTGTACATGCATGTAAAAGTGATGCTGTGGTTGGAAATGATCAACAAATCCTGTGCAAATTATTCTAAAGAGTTATGAAAAATTAGTCCATGTATACTGTTGGTTTAAAAATTTGAAATTTTAGGTTTAAAAACAATGGTACAATACCTTACAATACTTCACTTTTGAATAACAAGTTTGGAACGAGTTCTGTATCTAGCCACTAAAATTGTGTGTTTTTTGGATTGGTTTTTTTTTTTTTGGTCAAAATGTTTTAAAAATAAATGTATGATCAAGAAATGACTTGTCCACTAATTCCTTTTTCCCCAAAAAATATTGAATGGAATTGTCATCCGTGAACAACTTGAGCAGTGTTGAGGTGAAATTTTGAATATGATACAAAACTCTGACTGAATTGCACTATGTAAAACAATGTAAAGAATGAGTAAAAATGTTGCCCCGATTTTCTAATCAATGTTTTATCTGCACTTGAAGCACCAGTCTGATTCCTCATGGTCTACAGCCTACAGTACATGTGGGCTACAGTATTTCAAGTGTACATGGACCTGTAGTCACGATGACTCACAAAGCATTACACGTACAGTGTACATGTATGCATCAGATTTGCAAATTTATACAAATCCTAGTGCCTACTGAAATTAAATGTGTGAAAATCTCTTCTCATGCAACCACAAAATTAATATTGATTTGATTTATTTTCCTTTCCACAATGAAACCAACTACTGTATATACAAAAGTGAAGCAGAAAAACAAGCAATTACATGTATACTGTAAATCAGTAAGTTCGAGGTAGACACCCCAAGGGCCCAATCAGTGGATAAGTACATGCATGTAGAGACAATGCAATCAAAAAGTTTTACAAACTTTTTTCATTGCATTCCCATGAAGTACACTTACAAATAGGTACGTGTGCAGGTTGAACCCCTGGCTCTCAATTCTACATGTAGTTTGAGAATGAGCAACAGGACGACAAATTCAAGTCTTTTTCGACATCAGATTTTACGAGGGCAGTAGGCAATGATGTGGTTTGCATGCAGCACACGTACAGGTCTGCCATAGTCACCAGGTATATAGGGGCCTACGTACCTTATTTCACCACTTAACTGTGAAAACCAATAAGACTTGGCTTGACAATAGGTGGCGAACTTAAGTCTCTAGGACCTGGCAACTACAGTAAACGGTCACACACACGTAGGCCTACAGCACAACGGTCATAAAACTTCCGAAGCAAAAAGATGATGCACTGGATGATACGGGCTAGGCCTACATCATGCAGACTGGCAGTGGCAGCAAACAAATCCCACTTCATTGCAGTTGAATTACTCTTTAGCAAAACTACGGACCTGAGTGTTACTATACATATGTGTGACAGAAGGTACAGCTCCCTAATTATCATGATACTATGGAAAAGCTTACCCGCTGGCGTTGTCTTTTTAACGAATTTACATCCACGAATTTACGCCATAGATCGCACACGTACGTTCACGCACATACATTGTACATGTACATGTACATATACAGTACCGAAAAATCATTTCAAGATCTAGATCATTATTATAGCACGTGCAGCGCCCTCTGACGGCAAGGGCCCCATTATGCATGATCCCCATCCCACCTACGCACACGGCCGGCCGGTACGGAGGTTGGCCAAACGGCGTTTCCAGCTTTTGCTGGGGGGGGGGCATTAAAAAGCGAATGCAGCATTGGTCTCATTCAATATGATGTTTAGGGACAAAATATCAAAAGCCTTACTCACCATCGCGACATCCTTGCTTTTATTTCATGGTGTTGATTTCTTAGGGTTTGTGTCACACTCTCCCCCCCTGCTAGGTAAGCCACTGGCCACAGCAAAATAAAATTTTTAAAATAAAAACAAATTAAAAAAAGAGTCATTTCCGCACCCTTCTTTATCTATTGAATATTTGGACAAGTACAGCAACATTAATGCAAACATACAAGCTGGTAACCATACTTCAAAATTTGACATTCCATATGTTTTATTATACTGCTGCTTTGTACTTTTTATCTCAGTAAGTATGGCACAAACAGTCTAGAAGGGGTCTAGTATAAACTTGGATGCCCTATTTGAAGGAGCATAACTAGGGTGAAATTGCTGATGGGGCACATATATGTTTCAAGGGGGTGTTGAAAACAAAGGAACTGTGGCTTGTACATAGGATATGTACATTCCAAAATTTCCAATGAAACGTGGATGCGCTCCCTCACTCGGGGAAAGGGTATGGACTTCCACTGGAGACACATGCCCCAAGCCCTCCCCCCTCGTTACATCACTGCCCTGATGAACAAAGATAAAAAAATCATTCTTAACTAAACTACTTCTCAACTGTACCAGCAGAATACTTGAGATTGTTCAAAATAAACTAGTCCAGCCTTACAAATATAGATACAGCCCAAAATTTCCACAATGTTCCAGATAAAAACATCCATAATAACAGGGACAAAGTTGTCAAATTGTCAAAGTCCAAGAACTAGAAAGACTAATAAGCTGTAAAGACAAGGCCTTTGGTTTCTAAAAATAGGGGAGAGAAGGTTGTGGTAGAATGGACTGACCTGGGATTGAGGGATGGGTTGTTAGATGGGCTAGGTTCTTATTTGGGCAGGTTAATTAGATTTCGTAAAGAGGAAGAGGTCAAACATCATCAGGATAAACTGGCAAATCACAGTAAGTGACAGCTTCAACAATTTGCACCAAGGTCAATTTTTTTTTGTGAACTCCAGTGCTATGCAAGTTTTTATGAACACTGTAAATTGTTCTTTTCGGCAAATGCACAACCTTCCAGTTTGATAGTACTTCAAAATGTGTTTTACACATGTACTACGCAGGCAGGTGATAATTTCTGATTCTTGTACATAGTATGGCACAATTGGTATTGTACTACAAAAATCATCTTTCATGCTACTGCTTCTGCAATAAATTATGAATTACACAAAGTGTGACAAATTACAGTTTCGGTCTTTGTAAAACCAATAAAAAAAAAACAAGAAAAAGTGAAAAAGTACACACTTGCTCATTCAACTATTTGGCAGAGCAGTCCTTCAATTTTCTTTAATGTGCAAAGAACCTTAATATTGCAATAAATACAACGACACAATTTGAAGAACAAATGTCATCATCTTTCCCAAGGCTTACTGGTATCATTTCTTTGTAGTGTGTTTGGAATGAAAGATGTCCACGGTGGTCTCATGGCATTTGCGCAGGTCCATATCGCAGAAGCCAATACTGAACTTGCCAGTGTTCTTGAAGTAGTCTAGGCCACGACCTATCTTGATTATCCAGCCGTTGTTTAATCTGCAATGCACAAAAAAGCAAAGACACAGTTTCACAGAGTTTACAACCAGTCTGTGTAGTGTCACTTGTCCTCTGTATTTTTGTTAA